TCCTTCTCATGCTTGGCTGTGGATAATGTGTAATGATTACTGATGTTTCTTTCACTGAGTAATTATGCAATGCACAGAAGTTGTGGTCAGCCAACATCGATATTTTAACTGTACTTTGCCGCTGCTATAACTGTTTTGAAAAATAGGATATGTATAATAATAAGAATAAGAATAATAAGAATAATAAATACTTAATTGTCTCCTACGGTCGGTATTCAAAGAATTTGATCAATTGTCTGATTCTGAGATCTTAATCATGCTGAATTTCAATCGTTGTGTAATCAATAAATCATTGCTGTTTGTTTTCAGCCCAGTCAATGCTAAATTTTTTTGATAATTATCACAGTCTACCTGTTTGTACATATACATACGAATCCATATACGCGTTCAAGCGATAGCGATGAATGAAATTATCACCAATTTGTGGCTGGGTTCTTACCCGGCCATTGAAGATGTGCCACATTTGTTGCGCACTGGAATCCGATCGATTCTGACGGTCGATATGGTCCCATTGCCGGAAACCGAATTCAAATATTTTGAGTGCAAATTTATCGAACTACGAGACGAACCGTCACAAGATGTTTTGGATATTTTAGAAGAAGCACTGGATTTCATCGAACAGTCATTACGCAACGGATCTGTGTTAATCCATTGGTGAGTAGTTTTCATTCAGTGACCTCATTTGTTCCCGTTTTTAGCACAATGGGCATGTCACGAAGCGCCACGGTCACGATTGCTTATGTGATGCGCAAGTTTCGTGTCTCTTACGACAACGCTCTGGATTTGGTGATGAAAAAACGAATAATTTAGTATGCCCTAATTTCAAGTGTATCATGGATTTTATCACTAATTCCTTCTTTTTCCTGTCATTTTCCTTGCGTACACAAAGTCCGAACATTGGATTTGTCAATCAACTGAAAATGTTCGAAGTCATGAAATGGAAAGTGGACAAAGATTCGCCCGTCTATCATCAATACGCGGCTATTCGGAAATTCAAAGGTCCCGGCTCGGGTAAGCTTGCCCACTTGTCAATATAGCACAGTTCATCTTATTCAGCTTACAATCTGAAACCGGGCTCGAATAGTAGTCCTACTAATCAAACATACCAACCGGCTATTTTCAAGTGTCGCAAGTGTCGGTAAGCCGTCCATTCATGTACCAAGCTTCACATTTAATCTCTGTTTTTCTTGCACAGGCGTCGCCTGTTTACCTCATCTAATCTGGTCGGTCACTGTAGACCGGAACCGTCTGCCACGGAAGCTATAGCGAATGCAATTCAATCGGATGAGGTGGAAGTAAACACAGTGCTCATCAAGGGGGTCACATTAAACGACTCGCTGACCCCGTGCACACTAAATGAACTGTTTACGGATCCACTCGAATGGACCAGATCTTACACACACGAGGTTGAAGGAAAAGTGAGTTATGCTCATACCCAATGTCGTCTTTCATCAAACCACCTGATCCCCATCATGTGTTAGATCATAATGCCATTAGCTATCGATGAATAAATTGCATAATAGACTGCAAATCCATCTGGAGCACATGTCACAACTCTGATCATGCACTCATAAGCATGAAATTCTCTCTGCGCTTTGGTGGAAAACAGCAACGTCACCTGAGATGAAACTGGCCGACCCAAACGTAGCTACCACCCACCAAAACACGTTCACTGCTGATCTAGACCGTCTGACATCCTCGGACGTTGATAACCAGTGGACTCACATCCGTAACATCATGCATAAATCCGCCACCACAACATGTGACTTCACTAAGCGCACAGCCAGCCCCTGGGTTTCGGCACGTTTTCTCCAAATACTTGACACGCTTCGAAGCATCCCTCCAGGTAATGACTACACAGTTGGCAGGACTCTCAGTGCTAAACTGAAAAGGTTCCTAAAAGAGGATTTAGAGATTTGGTGGGCACTACGCGCTTCCGAGATGAAACTAGCCTCTGCTTCCGGTAATGCTCACAAACTTTTTCGACTAATCCGAGCTACCGGTAACAAAAACCATGCGCCAGTGAAACCATATGCTAAACTAATGTATCCACAATCTACAACGTCGGCTTGGATACTGGGCGGAGCACTTCCATCAACAATTCAGTTGGCCATCGACATCATTACCTCCATTTCCTGATGTCTGTGTGTTAGGTACTAATGCTCATTCTCTGCTGTAGAAAATAGCTCTGTATCGCTTACAGTGACCCTTACATGTGTTATGTATACCTGGTAATCGTTTATTTTTGTGCGTGCTCCCTTTGCATTCGCAGAGCAATTATAGATGTCAGAGCGTGCATTCGTGCAAGAGTGTGGAAAAGTTGACTTCGGTTGGCGCAGGTTAGAACACAAAGATATGACCCAAAAGAGAGTATTTAAGGGAGAATGTTGCAAACCAATGAACTAGGTTTTTCACCAGTACTTTGATTAACCACCAAACCTGATCGGCAGATCATCGCCAATCTGACTCAACCGTTCGTGCCCGTTTTGAATCAGAACTAGGACAAGAGTCAAATGCGCTGCGGGGTGGTAGTGTAGATGAACAATGGGATCAGATTAACCAACCAATGCACTTCGCAGCGAAGGTTGCTTGTGGATCTGAAGCGGTAGTCCGACCGAGGCATTGGATATCTGATCAGTCACTAGCACTGATGGAGAAAAAGCGGTAAATCCCGACCGCCCGGGATCAATACAGGGTTAGGTGGTGTCTGCGGCGTCAACTCAAGAAAGAGTGAGAACTGGTGGGCAACGATAGTTAGTGAAATGGAAGTAGCAGCTGCATCAGGGAATAGTCAGGGACTGTTCCAACTGATACGCAAAGCGGGAGGTCGGCGAACCACAGTTAGTGAAAGAATCTGCGATAAAAGTGGACAAGCTATTGGCAATAGGGAACAGATGGGCGGAGTACTTCAACGAACACTTCAGCTGGCCAGGCGCTAACCAGGCTATCTCCTTTGGTGTAGCTGAAGCTTCATGGGCAGTGTCATCTGAACCTCCTACTGAAGCAGAAGTTCGTTCTTGCATCTAAGCCCTGCAGAAAGGAAAAGCGGCAGGACCGGACGGGCTTCCTCCCACTTTTTTTGTGGTGGGAGGGGGGGGGGCGATGACCTCGTAGATGCCATTAATGCGCAACATCTGGTCACACGAGCGCATTCCATCATCCTGGAGCGAATCACTAATCGTTCCAATTTTTAAAAAGGGATTTCTCAACGACTACACAAACCACGGTGGAACAAGTTTGATCCCAGTTACTAGCCTCCATCATACTTCGACGTCAGACACCGTTCAGGGAGACAAACATCCGCGAACAACAAGCAGGACTTCGACCGGGTTGTGGTTGTATCGATCAAATCTTCACTCTGCATCAAGTCCTCGAGGTACGCCATACGCACCGTCGACCAACGGTTGTCGTGTTCTCTGACCTAAAAGGAGCCTTCGAATGAGTTGATCGTGAATTATGGATACACTCCTTCGCAAAGGAATGCCACAGAGGCATGTGAATATACTGAGTTCACTCCACTCATATACCTCTGATAGCGTAAGGGTCTGTGACGAGCTGAGTAGGTCGTTCGTAACCAAGAGCGGTTTTCATCAAGGGTGCCCTCTTTCGCCATTCCTGTTAAATTTCGTCGTAGACAAAATGTTGGAGAACACACTAAGTGGTCTCCAAAATGTAGGTATTGAATGGGCAGCTGGAGAAAAGCTGTGCGATTTGGAGTACGCTGACGACGTCGTTTGCTTGTTCGAATGTATGGAGGATAAACAAAGAGCACTTGCCAGATTAGCAAGTTCTGTCGCTCCGTTCGGCATGTGCTTTATACCTTCAAAGTGCAAGTGATGCTACAAGACTGGATGTCGCCGAGTTGTGTTATGAAACTAGATGATCAGAACTTAACTTAAGCTGACTGCTTTTCGTACTTGGGTAGCTGCGTGGCCAACGACTTTTGCGCATCAAAGAAGATAACCGCCTGCATTTCCAAGACTTGAGCTGCATACGCAGGACTTAAACACCTGTGGCTTCGTTGGTTAAGACATGTCTTGCGTATGTCCGACGGTCGGCTACTGCAGCGCGCCTTATTCGCAGTGGCTGTTGCAGGCAGGAGAAAGTCACGTAGAGGCCAGCAGATGACGCAGAGACAAGGTATGAAGAAATGCACAGAGCGATTAGGTACAGTAGGTGTCTCTCGTCTTCTGGGATGGGGTTTAAAAGACTCCGAAACCGCATGGTTGGAGACACTGAAGGTCATGGCTGCGAATCGACATCAATGGCGATCTTGCTGTCACTTTTTGTCAGACCAGAGTGATTGGAATAGTCTGTATGCACAATTGGACTATGTACTCTGTGTTGACCATAGAGGTTCGCTTTCTTTTTCCGTCCCTAAAATTAAGTCAAATTCGTATCCTCCTTACACATTCTCACTTATCTTGTATGCAATATGGGTTTGACAGCGATCAGTGAAGTTCGCTTCACTGTATTATGCTGTACAATGATTATGATGATGAATAACCATTATGACGTTATAACATTATAATGAACAATTCTTCATGCTATTCTTTGGTTGTGGATACATTCTTCATTGTGGCTACTCTGTTGATCGGCACATACCATCCGCTCCGAACTTTATCTTCACAGCTAGATTTTCCTCTCACCTATTCTACGATACGATTTGATAATTTCCCACCAGTTGCTTAACTTGTAATTCGTCAGTCTGACTAAGCGACACTGTTTGATCACCAGGCTTCCTTTTGTTAGTGTTCGTTTGGCCATCTAATAATGGTACTCTACCGCGCACAGTATTAGTCTACTGTTCACCCTAATGACTCTAGGCGGCCAACGCATTTTGGTATTCTGATTTGGTGAATGGTATGTGAAAGCCAATAGCAAGTACAGCGAACAGCAGTTTTGTCTTT